AGTGCCTTCGACTGACAAGATGCCCTTCCTGCTCAAGAGCACGACTGATGCCCTCTCTCTACAGATTGGCCTCCTACCTGCGAAGGTTGCCACGCAAGGGGCGCCGTTGAAGGCGCCGGCAGCCAAGGCCAAGGCAAAGGCGAAGGCAGCCGCACAAAGCGGGGGCGGTGATGACATTACTGTATTTGAGGACTGCTTGGATATCATCGAGAGATGCAAGCGCAACGCTGTCCATGTCGGAGAGATGCAAGCGCAACGCTGACATGGCCATTGCCTACCTCGTCGAGTTCTTAGTGTTCAAGTTCACTACAGTCACTGTTGGCAGTAAGAAGTTGAAGATCAAGACCTACAGCAAGCTTCGAGGCGCTCTTGCCCAGCACTGCGTTGCTGCTCACACGTTCAAGGAGGACGAGACGCATGAGCACCTGCGCGACCTTGGCATCGGCACTGATCCGCAGGCCGGCGCTGAGGGCGAAGAAAAGGAGGCACATGAAGATGTCGAGGAAGAGATTGTTCTGGGTCCAGCCCCGAACGGCTGGAAAACCGAGGAGTTGAAATTGATATGTGAGTTTCTCAAGGATGAGCCGAAAATCGTCACTGACGCAGAGAGTCTTTGGGGCGAGTTTTCAATGTACGCTTCGTCAGGTACAGAGACATTCCAGACAATTGCTTCTGTAACTCACCTCGTGAACCGCCTTTCCAAAGCGATGCAGTCAGTGTGGGCAGACGTGACATGTCCACTTGGCAAGCAGAGCATGCTTCTCGCAGACATGGGTGAGGTCACTGAGTCTGAGCTTACGGACTGCCAGATCAAGGAGAGCTTAGCAACAGAAGAAAAGTGGATGGGTTTCTTCATTGCGCTGTTCCCCATCGTGGAACAATGTATTCCATCGAACCTGGTCAAGTCCTGCAAGATGCTCGTCGCCTGCGTCGACGAGGCTGCCCTGACGGATAATCAAAGCGTCAAGCTCAGCCTTGCTCTGAAGGACGTTCACTACGTCGTTGCAGAATTTGCCGAGGCCAGCGGTGACGCCTTGTCAACAGTTGGGTTTCTAATGGAGCTTCGAGCTGCGTTGACTGTTAAACTACTCGAGGAGATTAATTCCGCACTCAAGACCAAGACGAAGAGCAACAAGGAGTATGTTTTCATCAGCCTGGCGAACTTGCTGAAGTCAATGTCTGCTGAGGTGGCGAAGCGCGACTTCTGCTGCGATGGCAAGAAGGATTGGACTGACTCCTGGGCGGCTGCCGCAGCCAAGGCATGCGAGCTCCTGAAGGACGAGGAGATCCGCAAGCGGCAGGCAGAAGAGTTGCAGAAAGAACGGGAGAAGAATGCTATCGAGCGGCGCAAGAAAGCAGAGGCTGAGGCGGCTGCACATGAAGCCGCACAGAAATTAGACCTGAAGAAGTTAACGCTGGACCTTCTGAAGGGCAAGGCTACTCAATGTGGAATCGAGCTCGTTGGCAGCGAGACCAAGACAACGTTGATCGAAGCAATTGTGAATCACCATAAGAACAAGGTCAAGCAGGAACCAGAGGATGAACAGGAGCATGGCGCGGCGGGTGATAATACCAGCGCGACCTTCACTGAAGAGCAGTTGCGACTCTTTGTGAGCCAGCCGCGCACGAGACCGGGAGCGGCCGCCACAGACGGTACAGATCAGGATCAGGCGGCAAAGCGTGAGAGGAACATCGCCTGAGGGGGGGGGGGGGGGGGGGGGGGGGGGGCGGGGGGGGGGGGGGGGGGTGTGGGCAGGGGGGGGGGGGGGGGGGGGGGGGGGGGGACAGGGGGGGGGGGGGGGGGGGGGGTGGGGGGGGGGGGTGGGGGGGGGGGTGGGGGGGGGGGGGGGGGGGGGGGGGGGGGGGGGGGGGGGGGGGTACCCACACCACATTGGGGGGGGGGGGGGGGGGGGGGGGGGGGGGGGGGGGAACATCGCAGAGTTGGTCCGAGTATACGACAGTACAGCCTACCCAGCGATCACCTCTATCATGCCCGTGCATGATGCAGCAGTGGACAGAACTACGCTGGCAGCCCTGGTCACGATGCAGCTCCAGAAGCTCCAGGCTTTCAACCTGGATGCCATTTGCCTCAAGGTCAAAGCAGGGAGCTCCATCGCAGATTCAATCGGATCCAGTTTCAAGCCGAAGCTTTTCGTTGACTATGACAAGCTTGATTGGGATGCCTTTTCGCTGCCCTTGAAAGGCAGAGTGGTCTGCACCATCGGGAACGCTGGCCAGAAGTCCTTCTACGACATGGGCTCGATCGGCACCGACGATACAAAGTACAACATGATTGCCACTCCAGGCGACTTCGACCTGGGCTGGCGAGTCAAGGCGCTCAGTCCTGACAAGGAGGACATTCCCGCGCTTGTTCCGCACGCTATCGACGTGCAGCTGAAGGTGGCTGACATCAAGAGGGCACTGGACTTCACGGTCGAAGAAGGCGATGAACAGGATACATGCGCCCTGCACGCTCAGGTCCTCAAGATGAATCCCGACTTCAAGAAAGAGATCGAGAACATGAAGATGGAGCGGCAGCAGCTTCACGACGGTGGCGAGACATGCGGCCCTTTCGTGTTCGAGCTCACCAGGGCAGCTCTACCAGGAGAGAAGGCAGCCTTCGAGGCGAAGGTTGAGAAGGCAAAGGGCCGTGAGAAGCAGAGAAAGGCCGCGGAGAAGCTCCAGACTGAATTCGACGAGGAGGCAGAGGGCGACGCTCGCCTGAGCGTGGATGAGCTGCTCTCTGTCGCGCCTCACGTGGTCAAGAAATAGCAGGCCTGGGCGGCCTGAGGGGTCCCGAGGAGCGCCCGGGAGGCGCCCGTGGCAGCCGTGGCAGACGGAGCGCGGAGCTCCGTCAGTTGACCAGTTGACTAGCCTGGTCGGCGCCTGGCTGACCTGGAATAGCAACAGAATCCATCATCACCTCATCCAACGAGGGCTCCGCTGAACCCTTTCGATGTTTTGCGATCCTTGATGGGAGTTCCGCCTGGCCCCTACCTCCTTTCTGGTCCTTCCTTATCCTCCGTCCTCCTTCTCCTCCGTCCTCCTCCTTCTCCTCCGTCCTCCTCCTTCTCCTCCGTCCTCCTCCTTCTCCTCCTCCTCCTTCTCCTCCTCCTCCTCTTCCTCCTCTTCCTTGGGTCTTCTGTCGGCAGGGGCTGGCGGCTGGCGGGGGCCCCGATCCGCGCGAGGGGTCCTCTGAAGTGGGCGGCTTTGGTGGGAGAACAGACGGCCACGCGCTGAGGCCATCCGATATTCCTGACCCTTGCTTGGGATTCCGCCTGGCCCCGAGGACCCTTGGCGGGGGTGGATTTCCGCCGAACCCAGACGACGACAACCAGGACGAGAAAGATGAGGAGGGGGAGGAGGAGGAGGACGACGACGCGGAAGGAGGAAGAGCAGGAGGAGGAGGAGGGGGGCAGGACGGAGGATGAGGAGGATGAGGATGAAGGCAACCCTTGATGAGGATCCCGCGATCTCCAGAAGAAGTTGTAAATAAAATGTAGAAGAATGTCCCAAGCTCATGCATTATGCTTTTCAGTTTCATTGGTTTCACATGCTGTGAATTTTCCAGAATCTAGTGTGCGCCCTTAACGAAATCCCTGATTCTCCAACATACAAACTTCACGAAATACAGTTGTTTGGTTTGTCGACGCCTGCAGAATCTGTTTTTTTCCTGAAGATCGACGCTTCGAAATTCCATTTTTTCGAAGGCCAGCGCTGGCCAGCACCTCAGGAATTTCGCAAAATCTTCCAGAGGAAAGAGCCGTTTTGGATTACAACCAGAGGCTACTTTCAGCGTCCCCACCTAATATCTGTCGCCGAGTTCACGTCAACGTTCCCCCCCCCCCCTGAGCTTGTCCCCCCCTATCTTGGAGGGCAAGAGAGAGTCGACTTGCTTCAAGAAGGCCAACATCTAGGATATCTGCCAAATACCGTGCTCACTCCCTAGCTCCAAGCGTCTACGGACACATCGGGTGTCGTTACGTACGCACATACATGCGGGGTGAAACATCTAGAGGCAACGCGGCCATGGCGTTCGGCGCAGCGCAAGATCGGAGAAAGGGTATGATCCGTCCACTATGCGCGCTTGTCCTAAAGCAGCTCCCATTTGGTACGCGCCAGTCCTAAAGCAACTCTGTCGCTGATCATGCCGCCAACGTCTCGCTCGACGACCACAGCGATTGGGAATGGCGAGATCCCGGTCTCCTAGCCCAGACAAGACAGCAACGTTGGAATCTTCGGGTGTGCTTGGACGGGGCGCGGAGAGGCGATGGGCAGGCTGCTGGGGGGCTCGCCATGTACGCATACGATTGCCCAGGCCATGGGCAAATGATGCTTCGGGCGGGACGATGTTGTGGTATTCTGGTTGATTCGTTCATGGCTGAATATTTAGATTTGGAGTGGTCTCTCGATGTTCTGTTCACGACTGTCTTGGAGGACTGAGCACAGAGCGGGCAGTGGGCAGGTAGGATGTGCGTTCGACGCATTGCCCGTAGTTGAAGAAGAAGAAGAAGAACTGGTACTCCAGCCCGATCTGTCCTTCTCGGTGGAGGCGGGGGCGGAGGATCCGTAGGTGGCCTCGCGCGCGCCCGCGGAGGGGCGCGAGGTCCAGGCAGGACGGGAGAAAACGGCAGCGCGGACGGCGACAGCAGCGACGAAGACGAGCACGGCGGCGGCGAGACGGCACATAACAGCGACGAGCGACCGCATCGACGCGGACGAAAACGATGAAGCGACGACTCAGGAGGAGGAGGAGGAGGCGGAGGAGGAGGAGGAGGAGGAGGAGGAGGAGGAGAGAGGGGGGGGCGGAGGAGGAGGAGGAGGCGGAGGAGGAGGAGGAGGAGGAGGAGGAGGTGGAGGCGGAAAGGGTGGTGGAGGGGAGGATGTGGTGGCGGAGGCGGGGGAGGGAAGGAGGTGGAGCGGAGGAGTTAGAAAAGCGGCGGCGCTTTTATTTTATTTTCTTGTATTTTTTGTTATTTTATTTTTGTTGCGGCCCGCAG